GTACTCACGGGACGGAACCAAATGGTATTGACTGAGCTGCTGACAGGGCCGCCTGCCGATAGCACGGTTCGCTTTTGTGAAGGATTTTCCACACTTAAAGTTCCAATAACCATGTGCGCCTCCTTGCGGTCCAAGATGGACACAACTTTTCCAAAAATGCGATCACTTTCGGCTGTATAAAGATAAATAAGTCAGAAACAGAGAAGTATTTACCAAAAGTAAAAATCATACCTTTCGTTTCATCCAAAACCTCCTTTTCACGCTCTCCATCCCCTAGGCCTCCATCTTCCTCCTCCACCATAACTCCACGGCGTCTTTCATCCTCCATTTTCATTTTTCGATCTTTCTCGCCATCTTCGCGTTCCATTTCACGACGCAATTCATCACCCGTGAGAATCTGAACGACAACCATATCACCGTCGAACGCACGGTTCCGCTTGTATTTTCCAGGAATGTAAATATCGTCAGGAAAACCTTCTGCTGTCACGTAGGCATCGAAGAATGACTTTTTGTTGATGCGGAGGAGTCCTTGGTGTAGTGTTTTCGCGGCAAGGCCCTTTTCGACTTGATCAAGAGGCATATAACTGTGGATTATCAGCGAAGAGAAATGGAAACACGAAAGCAAGGATACTCAACTCATCAAAGACGTTTCGACGCGAGCCTCCTGGGGTACTGTTATTGCCTCCAGGTGTATTTCTGTTATCATTCCTCCGACCATACCCATGGCCACCAGGAGTTTTGAACGGAGTTGAGGGATTGTTGGATGAATTGAATGAAGGTGTCTGAGGTGGAGCCTGAGATTGAACGGAAGAGTCTTGATTACCAAATTGATGATTTCGAGGAGTTTCCTGGTGCTTGTTACTCCTTTCATTTCTTCCGCGGCGGGGACTGTTGGAATCCTGGACAGGAGTCGAAATCGCAGCGATAAGTCCTGCGGCAGCTGACTGGTTGGGGACTGAATTGTTACTAGTCGCTGCATTCGCAGTAGCAGCAGCAGCAGCTTGTTCCTTATCGCGGCGCTGCCGTCTGTTCAATGGCTTGTCGCCTTCGGGGTATGGGCTCACACGACGAGCACCAGATCCAGAACGTCCATCAGAGGCTGGATTCTCCTTGCGTCTCCAAGATGCGGCTGAATCAGCCGACTCAGGGCGAGTAGGCGGAGACGCGTGCAATTCACTTCCCCGCAGATTATCCTTCTTATCTCTGTTTCTGTGACGCCCTCTATTTGTTGATGAAGAGGCCGACGGAGTTGTTTGCTGTTGCTGGAACACGTGTTGTTGGGCGGGTTGTTGTTGTTGAAGGGAGGGTTGATTGAGCAAGACTGGAGCACTCTTCTGGTGTCTAGGAGTACGCTGCTGAGGCCCAGACGCGTCCAATGTGTTTGAAGGAGGACCTTGAGGTTGCGGCTGGTTCTGTTGCCGTTTCCCCTTCGACGTGTTTTGATTTTGAGGCAACGACACGGCTGCATCCGACGAAAGAGACGCAACAAAGGCGACCCGAGCAGCAGCGGACGGGTCTGTTGGGACCGAGGCGGTTGGCAGACGAGGCGTCCACTTGACTGCGGGTGCGTACGGGGCTGCCGACTGAGGGTGGTGTTTTGGCTGCGACTGCGACTGCGACTGCGACTGCGACTGCGAGCGAGGTTGTTGCTGTGTCTGTGTCGTTGTCTGTTGCGATGGTGGATCCACACTTGGTTGAAGTTCCTGTGGCAAAGTCGTCTTTGTCTTTGCCTTGCGCACTCGCCCCTTCTTTGCTCCTGCGTTGGCATTGGCGTTGGTATTTGCGTTGGCGCTTGAACTAGAGCCTGTGTTTCCAGGTGGCCCAGGCTGCAGCGAGGCAAAGTCAATGACTTCGGTGTCGTCGTCGTCTGCCATCTCAATCGCGATTGGCAAACAAATTGTGGAAGGCCGCTGCAAGTGGTCCAGTTTCCTTCTCTCATTTATTTCAAATCATTTACATTGTATTATTAAATAGATCAGATCGGTTATTTGGAAGATACGGGGCGTGAAGGCGGCGTCATCAAATACTGTGCCGTGAATGCGGCAGCCAATACTACAACCGTAACCTTGGCCACCCACCATACAGTCCGAATTGTCGACCTTACAATTCCTATAACCATCCGAACCAACAACAAGACCACAACCACAATAACAGCCTGGATTTGCCAATCCAACGACGAGAAACCTCGTCCCAATCCTTGTATGCTCACAGCTTCTTGTATTTGATGCAATTGAGCTCGAATAGTGTCCAGCGACCGAGCTTGTTGCAACAGTGCTTGGATTGCATCCATCTGTAGAGAAGGAGCAGAGAAGATTCTCAAATAGAAGATAAATCTGTTTCTTAAAGTTCTTTCACGTTACTTCAATAATATGGGCACGCCTTAAAAACGCAAATCGGCAGAATGGACAACGTGCATCCCATCATTCTATTAATCGACACCAAGACTGGAGTAAAGGCATTACGTTGATTGAAACATTTTATTGGGATTAAACTTTCAAAACTTTTGGCTAATAATACTGAACTAAAATTCAGAAATTTACAGAATCTTTCGACTTATCATTTGTATTCCTTCCATTTATACTCCTTCCATCTATGCTCCTTCCATCTGTGCTTCTTCCATCTGTGCTCCTTCCATTTGTACTCCTTCCAGTGGTTGCATTTGCTGATGACACCACAAGACTGTTCAAAGTGGTGTTATTATTGAATTCAGCAGTTAGGTTAGTTAAAATGGGGCTGAGACAGTAACTTGGAGGTATAGAAGGGTCCACAGAAGCAGTACCCGTGCTTTTTGGACTTTTTTTAGAAAAGGCTTGAAACCATTGCTTCATCAACCGAGGCTCGAGGTCATCCATTGTTGAGTCCCAAGGCGGCAAATCGGCAGGATCATCTTCAAGCTCTGGGAATAATGACGGTGTTTCGGAATATGGGAGTGAAGCCACCGTTTCTCGTCCCACCATGTCAATGTTTCCAAAAATCAGGTCTGCGTATCGGATAATGTATTCGCCACCCTCTTTTGCAGTGACGAATACACAAAGAGCAAGATTTTTAGCAGTCATCATGTTTGTACTTGCTTTGTCAGCAACGCGTTGTAAATGCAAGACAAAGTACGAAAATGTGTGGAGGTGTTCGCGAGAAGGACAGTTTTGTTCAATTTCGAATTGAATCTTCTCAATGGTTTCTGGGTTTGGCGGACTGTTTTTATTTGCTGTAACTCTCTGTTAGATATGTTCCTAGAATGCAAAAACGACTGACCAACCGCGATTGAGTCAAGTTTGTCCCAAAAGCCACTTGGAACGAACTCTCCTTTAACTGAAGATAAAAAGTTTTTCAAAAGACTTGCAATTGTTGCGGGTGTTTCGTTATCCAACGCGACAGGAAACCCAATCGTACTCAAAAGACCATCACCTTCCCATAATCCGACACCATGTCTTGATTCTTCAAACTTGAATGATATTATTGAACTATTGATGGAAGATCTTGAACTGTCGCTACTTTTAAGTGACTGGTGTTCTCCGTCCATTTGCAGCAATTTGGAAGAATGCGAGCTTGTTGAGCCACTCGTTGCAATTAGAGAGAAATTTGTTTGATCTGAAGTCTTTTTTTGACGCAAATGGGGCCACTCCTTCAACGGTTGATTTGATGAAACTTCTTTTGTTCTTGAGGTAACAGAAAAAGGACGACGCAAAATACTTTGCTCCCGAGAGAAAGTCTTTTTGACAGATTTTTTCCGGCTTAGTGCTGAACGTCTGCTTTGATATGTTTCCTTGAATTTAAGCGCCCACTCTTTGACTCGCTTTTGACTTCCTGGAACGCGGTATATTCCTTCAGTATTCAGCAGTTTCTTACGTTCAAGGTATTCAACGCATTGGACAACTATATCTGGAATACCATTCTTACAACCTAAAGAGGAGGCTTGCTGAATTGTGGTGTTGAAGATTGGTCCCTCGAGGTCAACACTTGAGTGCTTTATTGACGAAGGCCGAGTTGGGCGTAAATCATTGGTTTTCATATTTGTATGTGATCGTGATTTTGAGCCAGTAAATGCGTTGGCGACAAGTTGCGAAAAGGACTGTTGGTGGGAGCGTCGGTTGACTTGAAGTTGTGAGCTTGAACTGTTGTTACTTGAAGAGGATGAGTGAAGACTGGTAGGTGAGGCCGTGCCATTTTTTCTCTGGCTGACAGTGTTCTCCGCACTGTGACAACATATTCAGGCCCCTTTTACGGAAATAACTACTCACATGTCTTGATCATTTTTCAATTGATGGGATATACTTTTTGTGAAAGCCAGTAAGGTCTTGAAAAACGACTTTGTCGAAGATAATGTCTCTGATGTGGACAGAGGAAGATGAAGAGAACGCCTGCGGACTTGAGGTTCTGAAGCTTCAACTGGGACAGAAGTTGATTGGTGGGTTTGGGTGTGGAATAAAATATTGAGTTGTCTGCGATGAAGCGAAGGAGAACTTTGGTTGCTCTGCACAGCCCGTGCAGAACCGAGAAACGTAGACGGAGACGCCACTGGATAAGAGAGTGTTGTACTCTTTTCCTTCTTGTGTGCTATTGGAGTCGAAGACTTAGGGCTGGCCATTGTGAGTTCTTGAAAATTCGATGACTGTGTCCAGTATTTTAAGAAAAAAGGTAAGACAAACTGTAAATAGCGTTCGTTGGTAAAGTCAAATAGGAGCTCCGAGCAAAAGAGTTTCCAGTGGCGCAAGCACTTTTTCCGAATTCAAGCCGGTTAAATTGTGTCAATACTGTTCTTTCGTTATACCTTTTGGGAAAGACCAACAAAGAACGAAGACAAAGGATGGAGCAGTTAAGTAATAATCTCATAGACTTTTAGTTTCATCAAACATGGTCTTCTTGGCCTTACACAAGCCACAGATTTTATGAACCATCTCTCATCACAAGAACAAGTCAAAAACTTGGTGAACGACGCAAACAACATAATTGTACCACTTCAATACGGTTAGGGATTTGTTGGAGAATTGGAAAGGCAAAGCTGGAGGAGAAGGGCATTGATCCCTTTGCCTCTCGCATGCAAAGCGAGCGCTCTACCATATGAGCTACACCCCAGTTGTCTGGCTGCAGTGCATATTAATAATCATATTTCATACCTGTAAGTTTTAATGGAGAACAGGTTTGGCTGTCTTCCTTTTGTCCCTACGGTCACTGGATGTATTTTCTTATCATTGTGTGAGACTCCAAGATCTTCGAGGTATTCATTTCACAATGTCAAGCTGTAGGATTTTTGCATTTACTTACGGGTAGGAATTAATTAAAAGAGCAGTATTAGAAGTATGGAAAGGTGGAAGCCAACAGAAGATCTTTCAAGTACTGCTGAGTGTCCTTTAACAATCTTTTAACATCGCTCTTTCTTTTATTTATAGAAATTACTCAAAAAACAATGTCATACCGTCGACCTGTTGGCTCCAACTCTCCATACGGCGGAGCCAGCAACAACCATAACGGAGGAGGATATGGAGGATTCGGTGGAGAGAATGCAATGCTGCAACAGAACGATGAGCATGTCGACCAACTGTCAGCGAAGATGTCGGTTCTCAAAGAGGTTAGCCGTCACCATCGTCCACGACGCATCAAAGTCTCCTGTGCGAGTCTAGAATGTTGGGCTGTGATAAGAAGATGATGAGAAGTGATGGAAGAACAGGATCAATATTAGGAACCTCCACATGACAGTTCCCCACGATGGGAAGCTTCCCACAGGAAAGGGCTTGCTAAACTTGGAAAAGGATAGCCAATAGATGAGTGGGTTTGGGGTTTTACGGGTTGAGGAGGGGACGGACTGCACATCGGATGGTAGGAGTGCAGTAATACCAGGTTGAAATCGACAGAGTAACAAACATTCATACCGAGAGTCTGTTACTATTAGAGCTCTACTGTAAACCTGGGCTGTCACTCACAACTAACCCTCTCTCCGCTTAGATTTCACTACAAATTGGTGACGAAGTAACATATCAGAACAAAATGCTCAACAGTATGGGAGAAGATTTCGACAAAACAGGAGATATTCTTGGAGGTACGATAAAGAAGCTCGGGCAGATTGCACGGAGCCCGAATGGATGGTGGATGCTGTGGTTGATGGCGTTTGTGGTTGTTGTTGTTATGTATATGATTCTTAGCAGGCTTTTCTGATGAATGTGGCGATAAAGGATGAGTAAAAGTAGAGACGCTGTGTTACTGTAAGTTTTCGGACACTTTACCAAACACAACTTTGCAACAAATGGCCGCCGAACGAGACATCGCCGCCGCCACGCTCGCCCTCGAGAACGGCGACGGAACACGCGCGGCCACGCTGCTGACCAAGGCGATCGCTGTTGCGCCGAGTGCCGCGCTGTTCGACCTCCGCGCGGCCGTGTTTGCAAAACTTGGAAACACAGACGCGGCGCTCAGAGACGCGAACTCGGTCGTTCAACTGGATCCGCACTCGCCCGTGGTTGGTGTTGGTTCTTCTTGGTGCCTCCATCCCGCTCTTACCTCCGAGACAGGGCTATCTTAGGGCCGCCCGTATCTTCAGAAAGAAGGGCTTGAACGATGCTGCCTTCAAAATATGTCGAATTGGTGTTTCAAAAATCAGAAGCAATGATCCTGACAGAAAGGTGGCTAATTACTCGTCTTTCCGTGTTGGTCTGACATTCTCTTTGTGATGAATAGGCCTTGAAGCTGTTTACTTGGATGTAGCCGGCAAGCTTGGAATTTCTCTTAAACGCCAAAAGAAGGAAAACGCAACACCCTCTGGTCAAAAGCAGCCTCTCTCGAAGCCTCAAAATGGTGGAGACCCTGGCGGTGCACCCACTGAGACTGAAGTTATTCCGTTACCCCCACCGCTCCCAACAATCATCCACAACTTTGGCTCTCACTCCATTCCTTTCGAAATTATTCAAGCAATTTTTGAGCTCCTTCCTCTCAAAGAAATAACAAAGTGCCTGCGTCTCTCGTCCTCAATCCGTGCCATGCTCAGCAATAACAAGTTTCTATGGCGCGATTTGGACCTGTCGAAATACTCTCATAAAGTAACAGATACTACAATCACGTCATTGATGCTCCGCGGGCGAGACCAGATTCGGACCATTGTCTTGAAAGACTGTTCGAAAGTGACCAAAGCGGGGATTCGCGCCGTCTCCAATTCAAAGTCAAAGCTATCATGTTTTGAGTTTACATTTAACCGGAAAGTTGCTTCAGAATTGCTTGTTGCTGCTGTTCGTGCATATTCTGGAGACTCTATTCGTCGTGTGAATTTGTCAGGGACGAGTATTTCCGACGAAGGCGTTGGACTACTTTTTGACAAATGCTCTGGACTGGAGGAACTGTCACTCTCTGAGTGTCCTTCTTTGACGGATGCTTCTTTGAACACAACTCTCAGACTCGTTCTCTCACACAAGCAACAGCAACTTCAAAGTGACGAGCCAACTGCTGTGTCTATTCCCCTTTATTCCCTGAAATCACTCGACGTGTCAAATAACCCAAACCTCTCTGATAAACTGGGTGGCAACGTTGCCCGATGTTTTCCTTCGCTGACCACCATCGTCCTCGATAAACTGCCGTTGATGACAAATCGCACATTGGAAGCCCTTGCGCTTCATTGTAAACAGATGGAGTCTGTTAGCGCGACAGGAATCACGTTCAACTACATCCAGGGAGGAGAAGGCGGGAATACTTGGAACACGTCGATGCTTCTCATGGCAAAAGAATGTAAAAATCTGAAAGCCATTCGCATCGGATCTTGCAAATTTGTGGAAGACGCGGGACTAGACGCTTTAACAGCCCTCTGTCACAACCTTGAAGTCCTTGGTGAGTCTGTTCAATGCCACGATTGGGGTTCTAATCCAAACATCAATGAAGAATTCCCTAAATCTGCAAACATAACCGATAGATCTCTTGCCAAAATCGGGACACGCTGTAAATTACTTACACATCTGACGGTGTCAATGTGTCCCAATCTAACTGACACGGGCATCATCAACTTCCTGCAACGACAAACAGAGCTGAACAAGCTCACAAACTTGGACATTTCCGCGAACCCGCGCATCACAGATAAAACCATGGAAGCGTTATGTGTGTATGGGAAGGGTTTGGTTGAGTTGAACATGTCAGGATGTGGATTGACTGGAGCGAGCATTTTGCAGTTTGCCAAGATGAAGTCAGAAGTTGGGAAAGCGGGGGGTAAGAAGTTGGCGGTGTGGAATTTGGATCGATGTAGTGGTGTCGGGAATGAGACTGTGGTTACCGTGAGAGGATTACTGCCACGAGCTCGGATCACGGCGAATTTGTAGGATGGGTTTTTTGGTATAGTGGTGATTGTGGTATCGATTGAGATGGAAGTGTGGGTATGAACATAATTATATTTGGAGCAATACAGCAGAGACCAATCAACCATTTGAGTGCATCACTTGAACTAAAACTTCTCGTCGTCGCAGTCGTCGTCGAATTCTGTGAGAAGAGTGGGCTATGAGTAACGCAACAACAACAACGCAAGGCAGCAAAAAGAGACTCAACTGTTGAAGAAGTCCTGGTCGGCGAGTCTCTCCTGTTCGAATGCCAAAGACGAGAGACGTTGTTGTTAGCAACAAACAGGACTTGGACTGAGTTGATCTCACCTGTGGCTGGCCACCAAACTGAATCGCAGCCTCAACTTGACCCGCGGTGGATTCGGGCGTTTCCATCGCATCCTCCATCTCTTGTTGCTGCTTGGACTTGGAGCTGCTCGACGACATTTTTGTGTGGAGTGTTTTGTCACTCTCTCACCCAAAACCTCCCTCAAACACACCCAAAGATGACGATGGCTCGCTCGCACGCCGTGGTCATGGCGGGTATGGGTGGGAAGATACTTGGTATGCCACATTGGTCCTGTCATTGAATATTCGCTAACGTTGATATTCGAATTCCATAGACAGACAGGAAGAAGACGAAGTGTATAAACTGCGATCAGAGAACTTGTCACTCAAGAAGAAACTCAATTTGCAGGATGATCGAGCCAAAAAGTAAGAATTCAGTAGACCTGAGACTTCACGGACGCGCTTTAAAGTACACTCACAGACTTACTGTCAAAGTCCAGCGCTTATCAGAAGATCTCGTCCGAAACAAAGAAATAATGGCTGGAGATGATAGCAAACTGGGAAAACCGAAACCTATAAAAGGTTCGTTAGAAGGCAATTCAAATGCTGACATCTTATATTCGAATCGTTACTCTCAGGAGAATTCAAAAATATTGAGGAAGCGTATAGTTTGATCGAAGATCTGAGAGATCAACTGAAGGAGCTCACAAAAGAAAATACTGTGACAAGGAATAAGGTGTGAAGCTTAAATTTATGAGACACTCATTGACCCTAGCATGTATAGATGCAATACTTTCGTACCCTTCATGAAGCTGAATCTCGAAAACGAACACCATATGATCATATTCCTCCACGAATTCAAGGCGTATGTACCTTATATTTTACAGCCACTGAATTAACGTAGAAACTGAGCAGCAGTCGGCCAAGAAACGTCTACATCCAAGCTTAGTCGTAAAATCAAAACCAGGTGGAATGGCATCGGCCAGAACCTCCGGGAATCCTTCTCCTGAACCTCCACAACATCACAACCAAGAAGAACTTGATAAACTGTAAGATCCAGAAAGCAATTGGTTTTTTACTTATTCATTTACTGATTAGGGAGGAGATGAATGGAATGCTCAGACTGAAACTGGGTGAAGCCGATGCTGAAGTTGAAAAGGCAAAGCAGGAATCCATACGATTTCAAGAGGCGCTAGAAAAGTTTGTCTATTTGACAAGTGCGATAGAATCTAATCCCAGCTATATTCAGAGATCAGCATCAACATGAAATTGATCGAGCCGCACTTCAACTTGAACTAGCAGATTCTCGAAAACGCGAACGAGAGCTTGCCGGAAAATATGACGCGCTTGACGAGCGATTCAGAGCTATGCTGGAAGCACACCAAGAAGCACTTCGTGTCTCAGATGAGCTAAACGCAGATCTGAAAGAAGAACGACGCAGATGTGTCGAAATGGAACACGAAGTCAAAAAAGCGTATGGAGCAGGTCAAGAAAATGCTGAGG